TTCAATAGGTTTTGCATAGTATTTTCTTTACTCTTTACTATGTCTAAAAAGGGTAATATTTTATGTATTTGAGGTCTGAGATGTGGGAACAGTGAAGAGAGAGAGAGGGCAAACATTATGCATTTTAGGTCTAATCAGCCAATATTGTCTTAAATAGCCTGCATAGCACTTCATCTTTTATAACATGGGATTTTGACCACATATATTCAATCTTGATCTTTGTAAAATTTTGCAATAAGATGTTAAATTTGATTTTTTTTTTGTGTGCGTGAAAAATTAGTTTTTGACATATAAGGTAATAAAAAATATGTTAAAAAATACCTTAAAGTAACTAAAAATGAGCATGTAAAGCAAATATCTTTAAAATAAATTCTGTGTGGAGCATGCTCCCGATCTGCGCAATGTTCTCACCTTTTTTCCCCTTTACCTGTTCGCATCTCTGTTAAACTGCTTTAAAGGGGTCATATGATGCGATTTCAATTGTTCCTTTCTCTTTGGAGTGTTACAAGCTCTTGGTGCATAAAGAGGATCTGTAAAGTTGCAAAGACTAAAGTCTCAAATCCAAAGAGATATTCTTTATAAAAGTTAAGAGTCAGCCACGCCTACCTAAAACTGCTCGTTCTAACACGCCCCCACATGTCTACGTCACTATGTGGGAAGATTTGCATAACGCCACCCAAATGTTCACGCAAAGAAAGAAGGCGTAACTTTTATTCTCGCTGTAGTATTGTTGTCGCCGCCATGTCGTGAAGACGCTGTGTGCTTCGTTGTGAAAACGAAACTACTTTGTTTGGCCTTCCAAAAGAGGGTATTTAAAATGAGTTTTAATGTTTTTGTCTCGTCGCTCCGGCCGGACAGGGCATCAACAGTATGGTGAGGGGCGTAACATTTCCGTCACACGCTTGAGGTATTCGGCCAATCATAACGCACTGGATAGCTGGCCAATCACAGCACACCTCGCTTTTCAGACCGATGAGCTTTGTAAAAATCGACGTGTTTCAGAAAGGCAGGGCATAGAGGAGAAACAATAATGTACAGTTTGTGGAAAATAATGTGGGTTTTTGAACCTTAAACCGCATAAACACATTTCATTACACCAAATACACAAAATAATGTTATTTTTAGCAACATCATATGAACCCTTTAAAAGGACAAGAAGATTTTCACTCGCCATCGACAGATATTTGTTCTTGCCATAAACTTACTTAATTTTGTTCATGTTTTCAGAAAACCAGACTTAATTTCTTCATTCTGCATCTCAAGTGAATGTATCTTGATTTGAGGATGCTTGGATACTTGTACTGGAAAACAGAAACGCCGAGTTAATAACAGAGTTAATGTGGTTTAGGGTGGCGGAGGAGTTTCTGAGAGCCGCAGAAGCGCTGTTGATGTCCACCTCCTCCTGTTTCCTCTTGAGCAGGGATCTGCGGCTCTGTCTCCGGCTCAGCCCCTGCACCGTGTCCTGATGCTCCTGCAGCAGAGCCCTGTCCTCCTCAGCCTTCTGGAGGAGCCTGGAGACCTGCCACAGAGAGAGAAGATCAGATACACACCTCAGTCTGCAGCAACTGGTACACTGACTGTGAAATAACACTGGAGCTCCTTCAAACACTGCAAGAGGCTTTCAGAAAATCCTTCGGAGATTTCTTCATTTCGTTGATGACACGGTGGAAGTGGCACAAAACCACCGGCTTTCATACTGTAACTGTACTAGCAACGGCACTTTTTGGGCACAAACTGTGGTTAGCATGAACATCTTTGTAGGGTTTAACTGAAGATTAGCTCTGTAACGTTACTGCTCTGTGTTTCGCGTCGTTACAGTTTCGGCTCATGCGAGTTTATTATAAAGACGTTATGTGTTATTAATATAATACGTCGTGTTCATACCGTCTTCACCGTCTGTCGTTGTTTCTCTCGCTGTATTATTTTCGCCTTTTCTCGCTGTTTTCTTTCTGCTCGCGCAGACGAGCCGCTGGTTGTGTTCGCGTCCATGCTGGATCTCACCAGTGACGCCGATCTCGCGGGACAAAACGAGATTTGCACGAAAAAAGTGAGAAGTGGAATGAATGAAGGAATGAATGAATGAATGAATGAACAAATAAATAAATATTTTATTTTTTATTTTATATTTACCAGCCTGACAGAGATGGTTTAGCTGGGTGACTCTTAACTTAAGTATTTTCTAGTTTTTAATAAATTTATTATTATTATATATACACAAATAAAGGCATCTGCGTTTCTGTGTGTATTGAGTTCACAGTGGTCTGTGTTTAGTTAACAGTAGGCGGCGGTAATGCACTGTTATACCACTGCGAACTGAAAGAAGAAGAAGAAGAAGAAGAAGAAGAAGAAGAAGGACGCGTTTCCGCTTTCGTGCTGATTTGAAAAACATTCAGTTTTTCTGAATCTGAATTTATTTTATTAATTTCACTATGTCTATTAAATTAAATGCTCTTTTCAGCGACTCATATGTGGATATAAGCCAGTATAGAGACCAACATTTTAAGGTGAGCATTGTTTTTCCTTCTGATAAACATTCTGGCACCTTTTATTTGTTCTTTCCCCGTCATATTATAGTTTCTTTTTTCTTTTTCATTTATAGATTATACAAACTTAATTGTTTATTTAATATATATTTTTTGCAAATGTGTATAGATTATGTTCCTCGATTAATGTGTTTATAAAAAACCTTCCACATTACAGTTTACCTTTTGTGAAGCAGTCCCTTGGATAATACATATTCAGTATTTATTATATCCATTACTCCAATAGATGCAGTGTTTAATTGTTTAATACATACAGTTCCTTTAAAAAGGCATGTTAGATACAGACTTGTTGTTCACCAAAGCTGCATTAATTGATAAAAAAAAGTCCAAAAGAACGCAATACTGGGAATCACTATTACAATTTAAATAACTGTTTTCTATTTTAATATATTTTATATCTATTTCCAGCAGCCTTTACATGTTTTTATTTGTATAGCACTTTTCACGATCCTTCAGAAATCATTCTAATCTGCTGATTTGATGCTTTTGTACCAGTGTAATAGTGATACAGTGTGTTTTATAGAGCTCTTTGATTTTAAAATGGAAGTCTTCTGTAACATTATCAGTTGAATGTGTCCCTGCTGTGTTTCTCATTTAAAAACAAACAAAACAAAACCACTGTGATCCCAAAGATGAAGCTGTTGATGCTGGAGGTGTGCAGATGTGTGCAGCAGCTTCTCGGTTGCTGGGAGTGACTCTGGACATCTCTGCAGGGCAACCGTTACGAGCAGGAGAAGCTGCTGAAGCAGAGCTGCTCGCTGTACGTGGGAAACCTGTCCTTCTACACCACAGAGGAGCAGGTGCACGAGCTCTTCTCCAAGAGCGGAGACGTCAAGAGGATCGTCATCGGCCTCGACAAAGTCAAGAAGACCGCCTGCGGCTTCTGTTTCGTCGAGTATCCTTCCAACTCAGGACCAGGGGGTGTGAAATGCTGCTTTTAAATGCTGTCATTGATTCTCTTGCTGGCAATTCAAATGAAACTTGACATTTGTTTGCTGCTGCAAACTCTTAAAGGCACAGTCCACCAAAACTGTCATTTACTCACCTCAGACTTTAGGCAGGGCTCTACGCGTACTTTTCTTTTTAGGAGCACCTTCTAATCAATAATCAAAAATTTGATAAAAAATCAGCCTTCCCATTACGAGGTGATATTTGACTCCTTAAAGTGATTTACAGTGGAAATTAGTTTTTACCTTTGCAATGGCATTTTTTTAACTTTATTGAAAGTATGTCATTAATTGTATTAACAAAATTAATTTGTACAGAGGTGGCACTGAAGAACACACAAGTGGCTTGTAGGTGTATTTTCAGACATTTAACGAGGCTCAGAGGTGGCATGAGTGCAATTAAATCCATAAATTCATGTTGAGATTAATGTTTTAATTTTAAATATGAAATGTTGAATACAGAAATATTAAATGATTTAAGGAACTGAAAAAATACTTTAAAAATGAAACTAAATCCGCCAGCAGGTGGCGACAAGTCACTGATTTTATCACTGAATCATTCATTCAATTGATTCATTCGAACAGCTGAATCATTCAGGAATGAAGCAAGTGACTGTCTTTATGAATGGGTAATCATGAATCACTGACTCACTAGATTCGTTTAAAAACTAATTTTAAAGCCTTGCCAATATAATGAAAGCCTATCAACAAAAATTGCATAATTTTACAGTTAAATGGCACTGCGATTAAAAATAGCAGTTTTAATGGGTTTCAATGGGGACATTTTTGTCCTTAAGGTCCTGAGAGGAACAATTTTTTGTACCTAGTGCAAAACAGATTTATTAAAGGAAATGGAAGTGAAATAGTAAAATTCCAATAAAAATACACATCTGTGCCAAAATGTATGCAGTTGGCAATAACACAGGCAAAATGATCAAAAAACTAAACTGAAAAGGACAAAAATGTCCAAAAGGTCGCACAAGGGTTAAATCTATTTTCGACGATGAAATAGAGCAAAATCAGACAATGTAAGTCACTTAATATTAACTTCTTGTAATCAACGAAGCTCTCTACACTGCGCAATGAATCTCTTATTTACACCCTGTCTACACTTTGCTTATGAAAGGATTCATGAGATATGTCTGTGATACATTACTCAACGCTGCAAAAACACATAGAAACCTTTGAAGCTCCCCTCAGCGATCACAATCACAAGTATGATGATGATCTGGTCAGTTGCACTGGTGCTCCTAAATATGTTTTCATAGTCGCACGCAGTAGTTTTCAGTCGCACTGTAGAGCCCTGTTAGGTCAGTTTTAAAAGACAAATGAAGATATTTGTAATTAAAACTGAGTGATTTCTGTCCCTGCTTTAAATTCAATTCCATCAAAACTGCATATTTGAGCTTCCGTGTACCATATTTGATGTGCTCTATGTGTGAAAATGGGTTTAGAATTCATCAATTTTCTATTATTTTAAGGGGGGAACTATCTCTTTAGGAAATGCAACTTTTGCATAATTCCTCATCAGTGTTTGAGATTAGTATGAAGTTATTTAATTTCCTTTGATATATTAGTTCTTTAAAATAACTCCAACACCTTTGATCACGATCACGATCACATTTGTATTTCGGCTAAGACTTCTGCTTTCAGACACCGAGACTGTGAAACTAGTGTCAGTTCTTTAACCGCTGATGTGAAGGTATTACACTCGCGCTGATGCTGAGCATGCTATGAGGTTTATTAATGGCACGAGGCTGGATGACCGGATCATCCGAACAGACTGGGACGCAGGCTTTAAAGAGGGCAGACAGTTCGGCCGGGGCAAGTCAGGCGGGCAGGTAAGTGATAAAGCACACAATGATAGAACTATGATCACAATAATTATTACATACATATTTCAGGAACGTTTTTTTTTTGTTACTAGCAAAAACAAATCATATAATTGAGGTTAAAAGTAATGTATTACAATATTGCATTACTCCATAAAAAAGTAATGCATTACTTTCCATTAAAAGTAACCAAGTAACGTAATTATTTACGTTACTTTTGCGTTACTTTTTAAATCTGGACAGGGCTTGCTTGTTTGTTTTTAAAATAAAAA